TATTGGTCCAGTGGTGAGGATTTTTGTTTTCTTGACATTGAGATGTAATCCATATCGAAGACTGTGCTCTTTGATCTTCATAAGTAAATGTTTCAAGTCCTCTTCACTTTCAGCGATCAGGAGTAGAAAGCCTCATTTTTCTCCTGTGGAGCGGCTGAGAGACTGGAACTGTGAACCTTGTGGTTCGCTGTCAGTGATCATCATACGGAGCCAGCACTCCCCATTGACCATGTAGCTCTGGTTACAAATCGGGCTGTGAACCACAAGGTCAGCAGTTTGAAACTACCAGCTGTTCCACAAGGAAAGATGAGGCTTTCTGCTCCTGTAAAGATGTATAGCTTTGGAAACCCTGTTCAGGATCGCTATGGGTTGGAATCGACTCGACAGCACTTAACAACAACTACTACACTGACCATGTCGTATCATCATTTTAAAGATTTGGCTAGTTATCCAAAGGCTGGCCATTTAAATTCCCTAGCTACTCCACCAGAGAAAGATGTAGCTGTCTACTTCACGTAAAGATTACAGTTTTGGAAACCCTATGAGTCAGTTTTACTCTGACCTGTATAAGTTGGAATCGACCAGAAGGCAATGGGTTTGGTCTTCATTTGGATCTTCATCTTGTAAAAGCTCTACCTGCCTATTTGATGGGAGCCATGAGTAGCCTGGTACTGGTTCTACAAAGCTTACAGTTCACAGTCAGGACTACTTCATTTAAAAATGTTCTCTGTGAACAAAGCTGCTTTTAGCTACCAAACCCAAACCCACTGGATTCTGTGTCATAGAAAATCTGTAGGAGAGAGTGGAACCAAACCACAGGGTTACAAATGATGTAAATTTTTACACAAGACTACCAAATCTTTCTCCCATGGAATGGGTTTTAACTGCTGACCTTCAATTAGCAGTGGACAGTGTAACTACTAAGGGCCTTTACACTTTTAGTTACGGTAGATGGAAAAAGTGCCTAGCACCGGGAACTTGTTTCCCCCCTACACTAACTTAAGCATAATTTCAAATAGTATTTGCTACTTTCCCCCTTATTATAATCAGAGAGAGAGTTTAAAAAAAACAACCCACTGACCCTCAACATATTTCTACTAAAAATGTAGATGTCTCATCTAGCCTGAAATGGATTCTTTCATCAAATGGCAAGCTTATTTAAACAAAAGTTGATTATGTAAAAGCTGAAACAATCTCAAATCTGTAATGATTTACAGTATAACACTGGTAGAATTAGTTGGTTTCCATGAAAAATTACTGATTAAAATTACAAATCTTACTTTATGTTTCTATTGAAAAGCTGAGCAGTACCAAAACACTTAGGTCAGACCCGCATCATTAATGACTGCATCACCAACTGCTAGTCCGGCAATATAATTTTATGAAAGCATAGGACCTTCCTCAATCATTTCCTACCTGCTGTCCATGTTCCACTCGAGTGCTGGATTTTGAGAATTTCTCTCACTCTCTGTGAGCACTCCTCCGCTGCCAATCTCTTTCTCTGGTTTCAGTTGATCCCACTGTGCAGTACCAATATTGATGGACTGCAGGTCTATTTGGTATTGTCTATCTTCAATTTCGGAACCAGGATCACGAAGAATTCCTAAGTTCATGGCTCTCCTGTAAATACAGTGAAAAAAGAGGAAACAAATAAAATACAGGTCCCACCAATGGTTATTTTGTTTACAAATACAGTATCATTGTCATTTTGCTTTGGGTTACTGAGCTAAGTACATCTATGATACAAGAATTAGAAACTTATCACATATTTTGTCTTGAAACTGTATTTGAAAGCTATCACTTAGAGTAATTCTAACTGAAAGCTATCTTTAAAAGTAATACAATTTCTTAGATTAGTCCTGGTAATTGTGTTTTTTTCCATGACCTTTTAGACATATGATTTTAATCCTTGATGTGCTGTGAGGTTCCCTAATTAAATCTATTTTTATCAACGAGAAAATAATTCAGAAAAATTGAAAGATTTATACAAAGTCTGTATGTGCCAAAATTTCAAGTTATTCCAGATTTTTTTACTTAAAACTCAGTCTTCTTTACAATGCTAAGGGCTGGAGTGAGTCCCCAGAATTTTGTTTTAGTTCTTTTTAGAAAAGGTGATTGCTGTGAAGTGCCACTGAGTCAGCTCTGACTCATATGATCCTGTGTAGGATTTCCAAGTAGGAGCTGGTGGGTTTGAACTGTTGACTTTGTGGTTAGCACTCCACTGTTAATCCTGCAGCACCACATAAGGACTCCACAAAAGGTAATGTAACTCTGTTAATCCATTTCACTTCCCTACACCTTGCCACTGATTTTTTTTTAACTTATTAACTAAACAAAGACTTGTATTACTAAGCACCACTCATCTGTCAGTGTGTTGTACTGTGATTGCTTACAAGCTGCTGTGATGCTAGAAGCTAAGTTGTCTGTAGTTCAAATAACAGAAATGTCATTCATGGAGGAGCTCCCAGACTAGTACACACTAGGATGAAAGTTCCGGTGATCTACTTGTAATAAACAAACAAACAAACAAATAACTAGTGAAATATGAATAGCAGCAAAACAGTATTTGCCACAGTGCCAGAAGATGAGCCCCTCAGGTTGGAAGGCTCTTAAACATGACTAGAGAAGAGCTGCTTCCTCAAAGTGGAGTCACTCTTAATGATATGGATGAAATAAAGCTTTCAGGATATTCTTTTATGGATGTGGCCTGACTCAAAATGGTAAGAAACAACAGCAAACAATCATTAAATAAACAAAATACTTAGAAAGCATGAATCTAGAAAAACTGCATATTGTCAAAAATAAAATAGAACATATAAAGATCAATATCCTAGACAGTAGTGAGCTGAAATGGATTAATATTGGCCATTCTGAATTAGACAATCACATGGTCTACTATACTGGGAATGACAAATTGAAGATGAATCATGTTGCATTCATCATCAAAAAAGAACATTTCAAGAAAAAAAAAAGTATGCTCATACAATTTGATGAACTTGACCCACACCTATGGAAGCAGTAGCTCAAAAGAGGGAGTGGGCCCTTGCAGCAAGAATCATTCCCACCCCTCCTAAAAAAGAGTGGACAGGGATGGGCAACTTGGACATTGGCTACCCAAAAAGGGGGTGGGGGCTACAAAGGCAAGAAGTGACTGGCTTACAAGCTTTCAAGAGGGAACCTAGAACCAGAGGGCCTGGAGAAAGGTAGAATCTCCAGTGAATAGTATTCAATCTGTCTAGGTGGCACTGATGCAATGAAATCCAGATGGGTTTCTTGTGATACAATAGTGAATAATTGTTATCAGGAATGATTGTGAGGGTTGGAAATGTAAAGGTAGACATTTTATAGCAAGGAGGGGAGAGATTAACTTTTTAGTCTAGGAAGGGAGGTTCCTGGGACCGTCAAGGGAGAGGAGCAGAGAGCGGGACCCTACCCAGAGAAGCAATGATGCCTGAAATGGAGCCAAAGATGATGATGTGGAGCGATGGAGCAGCTGGAGACTTTAGATCCAGAGAGGGAGAGCAACTGTGTGCTGAAGACCTGAGGGGCACGGGGGAAGGATTGCATGGAGGGGATTGTAACCATGGCAATGAGACGATATACGATGGAATGAATGTAAAAGTAATATTCTCCCATGTAAACTATCACATAATTCACAATAAATCATTTAAAAAAAAAAAAAAAAAGAGAAGAACTAAGAACTGGTGGCCAGGAGCAGACTTGCAGAATGTGCCCTTTGGAGATGTAAATATTATGTATGCCTGAGTGGGTTTTTTTGTTTGTGTGTTTTTTAAAAAAAGCTAAAGTAGATAGAGAGAAATACTGTTAAATGATGGTACATGGAGGGGATTATAATCAATGTAATGAAACAAGGTATATGATTTGTTGAATGTAAAACTGATGATATGCCCTGTAAGCTTTCACTCAATCCACAATAAAAACCTTAAAAAAAAAAAAGAACATTTCAAGATCTAGCCTAATCTACAATGTTGTCAGCAATAGGATGATAGCCATAGGCCTATTAGGAAGACCAGCTAACATGACTGTAATTCAAATTTACAGACCAATCACTAATGCCAAAGATGAAGAAACTGTAGATTTCTTACTAAATTATGTAGTCTGATATTAAACAAACATGAAATCAAAATGTATTGTTAGTGCCTGGTGATTGGAATACAAAAGTTGGAAACAAAGAAGGAGAATCAGTAGTTGGAAAATATGGCCTTGGTGACAGAAATGACACCAGAGATTACATGATAGAATTTTGTAAGACCAATGACCTATTCATTGGACATATCTTTTTCCCAACCACATAAATGGTGAACATATACTTAGGACCTCATCAGTGGAATACACAAGATTCAAATCAACTACATCTCTAAAGAGAGATGAAGGAAAAGCACAATACCATTAATCAGACCATCAATTGCTCACAAGCAAATTCAAACTGAAGCTGAAATATTTAAAACAAGTCCATGAGTGTCAAAGTACACACTTGAATATATTCCACCGAAAGTAAAGATCAATGCAAAGAACAGATTTGACACGTTGAACACCAATGACCAAAGACTAGATAGCAAGCTGTGGGACAACATCAAGGACATACATGCAGAAAGCAAAAAAAAAAAATCAGTAAAAAAGGAAATACCAAAATGGATGTCCAAGGAAACTGTGAAATCTACTGTTCAACACAGAACAGCTAAAACAAATGGAAAAATGATGAAGTAGAAAACTTTAAAGGGTGGTTTTATTATAATGAAATGTGTAAAGACTTGATGTTAAAAAAAAAAACCAAAAGGGAAAAACATGATCAGAATTTCTCAGGATGAAAGAATTTCTTCAGCTTTCGGTTATAATATTGAAAGGTAAAATACTGAATAATGCAGGAAGCATTAAAAGAAGGTGGAAGAAATATACAATAACTGTACCAAAAAGAATTGGTCAACATTCAACCATTTCAGAAGGTAGCATACGTTCAAAACATCGATGGTATTAAAGGAAGATGTTCAAGCTACACTGAAGGCACTGGTGAAAAACCAGGTTCCAGGAATTCACAAATACAAATTGAGATGTTTCAATAAACTGATGCAATGTGGAAGTAAGTGTTCACTCATCTGTACCAAGAAATGTGTTTGGCAGGTATCTGACCAACCAACTAGCAGAGATCCATGTTTGTATCCATTCCAAAGAAAGCTAATTAGAGTACAGAAATTACCCAACAGTGTGGTGCTGTAGAAACAGCACTGGATTGTCAACCACAAGGCCAGCAGTTCAAATCCACCAGCCGCTCTTCGGAAACCCTATACAGGGTCACTATGAGTTGGAAGTGACACAAAGGCACTTAACAAATCATTATCACATACAAGTAAAATTTTGCAGGAGATAACTCAAAAGTGGTTGTCGTGGTACATCGACAGGTAACCCACCAAACTCAAGCGTGATTCAGAAGAGAACAAGATGCAGGGAGATCACTGTGGATGTCAGATGGATCTTGGCTGAAAGTAGAGAATACCAGGAGAGATGTTTTCCAGGTTTTATTAACTAAGCAAAAGCACTCAACTATGTGGATCTTAACATGTCATGGATAACACTGCAGAGAATGGAATTCTAAAGCAATTAGTTGAGCTCATGCAGAACTTGTACTTGGAGAAAAGAGGTAGTCATCTAAACAGAACAGAAGGACACTGACTGTTTAAAATCAGGAATGGTGTGTGTCAGGGCTGTATCCTTTCACCATTATTCAAACTGTATGCTCAGCAAATACTCTGAGAAGCTGGATAATAAGAAAGACATGGTATCAGGACTGGAGAAAGACTCATTAACAATCTGCAATATGCAGTGACACAACCTTGCTTGCTGAAAAGTAAAGAGGATTTGAAGCACTTACTGAATGAGAACAAAGACTACAGTCTTCAATATGGATTACACCTTAACATAAAGAAAACAAAAATCCTTATAACTGGACCAATAAGCAACATTAATGCTAAAGAGAAAATTTGGAAGTTGTCAAACATTTGATTTTACTTGAATCCATAATCAACAGTAATGGAAATATCAGCCAAGAATTTATACATACTGCATTTGGCAAATTTGTTGCAAAATATCTCTTTAAAGTGTAAAAAAGCAAAGATGCCACTTTGAGGAGCAAGGTGTACCTGAGACACACTATGTATGAAAGGCTAGGGTCACTACAGCCAGGCAATGCTTCTCAGTAGTCTGTCACTTAGGATGGAATCTGGTAGTTATGTAATGATGTAGTCATCCCACGTAACATGATCTTACATAACGTCATAAACTCTTATGATGAGATGTGTTACAAGGTAATAATCTCTGTGATAAGATCAGCTATGAGCAACGAACTGGTTGAAAGGAAGCTTCTTCAGGGGAGTAGTGGGACGTGGGCCAATTCAATACGTATGGACATTGGAGCAGAGTTCTCTGGCTTTTTTACTTACTCTGCATCCTGCATCTGTTTCATCATCATGTGACCTCTGATCAAGTTGACTCAGTGGCCTGCTGATTTGATGAATCAGGGGACTCATCAACCTCAGCTGCCTGTAAGCCAGCAGTCTCCCATCAGAACTACAATCTTAGGATTTGTCAGGCCCTTGAGCTACGAG